TTCAGAGGTAAATTCTTCAAATGAACTTTTGCATCATGATGAATTGGACAATATTTACATTCAGATTCTAAAGAATAAATTAGAGCATAGAAATAATATACAAAAATTCAATCAATTATTTTTTCGACAGCTTTCTAGAAGGGATAATAATCACCTATACTACTGAAATTGTTTAAGAAACATTAAGCTGATTCATGAATTTTTCTCTCAATTCGTGACACAGCTTCCAAGTGTCTACAAGCGTATCATCTAGACGATTTGCAGCTAATGCACCATCAACTCCAAAAGCAAGATGTTGGGCAAAAACGAAATAATTGAAAAATCAATGTAATCCGATTAGTGCTAATAAATAACAAATCAGTAATAATGGAGATAGCTACCATCTGCTGTTAAATGCTGATTTGAAAAAACTTGTAGAGACTAAATTGTGTGAAATGAATTTTAAAATCATGAATTCTAATATTAAATGAACAAAACAAGGCAATTTCTAAGTCGATCCACGTTCGAGTGAGCACACATACATCTCACTTGATAGCTACCGGGTAGGTCTTGTAGTGTGTATCCTCCCGAATTACGGAAATCTGGATTGTCACCCAAGAAATCCCTAGTAAATGTTCTCCTCCTTCCTCTTTGGCCTTTCCCCGTGTCGAATTGCGCTTTGAGTTGAGAAGTTGGAAAGGAGCCGCTCAGTTATAAATCTAGCCTCTGGTTCCTTCATCTCTGTTCTTTTTCACTCTCTCCTTCGTCCTCCGTACCCATGGACCTGACTCTTGGGGGTCCACATGAGCGTGTGAGGTCTCCTAAATGGTAACAAATGCTAGGGAAACTACGAGTCATGACAATAGATCTTCTGTGTCGGCTTCGGTTCATGTTGAAGATTGCTGGTGAGTTCCTGTCAACGCCCGGTGAGATCCAATGGACACCAGTTCTTTCATTCTTACCACCAAAAGTCAACGTCAACTTACCATCAGGATCAATAGCTTTACACAATCCATAAAACGAAAAGAATAAGAGCATGATGTAGAGCACTCATCTTACAATCAAATAAATGTCGTTTGACCTGTACGTGAGACTTGTGTGGACTACAGCCTCTTCATGACTGCTTTGGTGGTCTTTTAGCTTTTTAATTTCTTTTCAAGTCGTCAAAGTCAACTTCTACAGCAGGTAAATTTGGTAAATGCAATTGTAAATACACTTCATCGTTGGTGTTATTTTTTTTCCCTGAGCTTTGTATGCTGGGAAAGGTTCTTCAATTGGAACCACTTCAGAGTTGATAGAGGATAGCTTTTCATCTAGAGTTTTCTTCCCACCAGACATAGCGATACATTAAATATTTATAAACAATATACTTCTAATTTCTTGGTAGTTTAAAAAATCAAACTTATTATTGAATATCTGAGAATAATTTTTTTACCAATTGTTTGATGATAAAGTCTTGTAATAAAATATATTTTGATAGCAAAATTACTTTTTGCATGTTTTATATTAAATAACAGCATTAAATAACTCAAGCAAAACAAATGTCGATACTTAAAAACGATATGGTTTTTTTAAAGTGATAAATTTTCTTTTTGTAAAACAGCTGATGATATCTAAATAAAATTACTAGTCTGACTAACACACCAGGTTGGATAATTCGACACGTTTACGACGTGATAAGCGAAACTTCTCCGCCTTATTTCTATCTACCTTACCTATGGTAATCTTCCCTGAAATTTTCCACTAAATTCTTTTAATTAAGCTTTGAAAATACCACACAAAAACATTCTGATTTCATTCCAAAAAATCTTTCATCTATTAATTTTCATGATTGATAACTATTACCATTAAAATACCATTTTTTATCCAAATTAAATTTCATCATTGCAGTTGATGTCTCTCAAATTAAACATATCAATTATTGTAGAATTCTTTTAATCATCAAATGCTATCTATTAAATAGCATAATCATCCGGTAATGCAGGAATAAACCTCTAATGATCTTAATTCAGTAGTCTCTAAAAAATCCAAATCATTGAGCATGAAAATTGATTCATCATTTCATTCAAGTTTTCATTGTCCTTTCTAACGATCCATGATCTTTTCTAGTGGTACAATAACATCTTTGACGATCGATGCAATCACATGACTCTGATGATGGCTGAGCTCTTTTTCACATGCAGAGGAGGCCTGGAGAGACGTGGCGCGAGGGAAGTTGAGATGGATATACATATTATAAGTGCAAGCCGAAAGCCAGGCGAGTGTATAAGGGAGTATAAAAAGGTGGGTGAAGGTAAGGGGGGTGGGCAGGACCCATTAGGCTAATCCCTCGTCGGCGGTCGAAGCCAAAGGAATGGAATAAGAAAGCCACAGGCTACGTGTCATTCCTGCTCGACCGCCGACACCTATACCTAGCCGACACTTTTCTCTCCTTTTCTTTCTCTTTTTCTCTCTCGTATTCTCCTTGCATTCGTCCTTCTCACTACGTCGCTGAACCCACTCTCAGAGGTGCTCGCCTTTCTCATCATTTACGCCGATACCTTCTAGATATCATCATGGATGTATATACATTTATCCCTTTTTCTCCTTGGAATTCATGGAATCAACCCTACATCCAAAATGTCGGAAATGGTCTAAATATTTCTCATGCTTGTGAATGACATTTTTAAAATTTAATCATGTCAATCACTTCATCTTGATGATGATGGAGATGAGAATTTTCAGGTACATTGCACAAGTTTATATTTAAAGTGATTGTTTTCAAATGGAAATTTACAAAAATAATCTGCCATTTTTTTAGCATCATGATTTTTATAATTTTTGAATAAATTTGTTGAATAAAAATAGGTATGTTGAAGTTAGTTAATTATTAATGTGGCCAAAATAGTGATAAAAATATTTAATTAAAATGAATAAGAAAAATTTGTAAGATGAATCCTAGGATTAATTGTTGTAAATTCCAATGATTATTCATTCCTTTCAGCACAAAATTTCTCAGCAATATTTTCCAAAAAGACCAACAATGTCCTTCATAGGAATTTCTTAAAAATGCCATATTTCATAAAAAAAAAATAACTCAGGCAACAATGAATTTGATAAAAATTTCAAAAGAATTTAAATTCGATAATATTGATTTGGACATTATGAAAGTAGTTGGGCTCTTGATAAAATATTTATGAATGAGCACCGCTGTCGACGTGTGGCAGGCGGTTCGTTTGATCTCCGCGGGACTCTCGCGAGGCCCCTCACGGTCCTCTTACGTCTTTCCTCTCGTCCACTATGGTGAGGTCTCTTGAGTCCCGCTTAGCTCTCCAGTTCTTCAAGTTCTCTCGGACTCTTTCTTCACATTCTTGTTGCAGTCCACACACTGCTATCTGTATTTCTTTCATCTTTCTCGCTCTCTCTCTCTCTATCTTTGAAGCATCAACTCTTGTCTACTCTTTAGATTCTTCTTTAGAATCCGATATGCTCTACAAGATTCCGCCACACCTTCTGATGACTTCCAAAAACATTCCTCGATCCTGTCGACTGTCCACTTCAGTAGAGGCTTTAATGTCTCTCAGTCTTAATGACTTTTTATCTTCTTCAAGATATGATGATATTCAGCAGAAGAATATCATGTTAGATAATAAATTAGGACTTTCTCTTGATTATTATTCAACTTATCTATTATTTAATTATTACTAGCAATTAAATCATTAAAATATGTCGCAATTAACGCCAATAAATTTTTTTTTTCAGGCATTTTGTCTGATTTAAATTGAGCAAAGGAGATAAAAAATAAACTCTAGATACAGAAGAAAAAGGATAATGCTACGGCCTGTAAGATATTGACACTCCTGTAATCCGTTTGTCGGACGTGTGGGCAACCGGACTAATCCCAGCTCACGCCCACCGAAGATTAAATTCTGCCGTGTCTTTTGCCGACTATTTTCTCGTTTCTTTTGATGCTTGTATCGTGTGTATATCCTCTACCCAAAACACGACCACGCATGTTAAATGCATGGCTGAGTAATCACGTCAAACTCTCTAGACATTTTCATATTTTCCTTTCTTTTTTTTTGTTTCTTTTCTGATACTTTATTTATTTTTTTCAATTAAAATTATTTAATAATAATCATCGTGGTGATGATGATAAAATAATCATGAAGATAAAGTTTATTTTGTATGCATGTATGTTCTGGTTAATTGACTTGTGTATATAAAGAGATTGAAGAAGGAGGCAATTGATGTAATATAAATGAAATAAATTCTTTTCTGATGTGAGAATTTGTTTAGATTGAAATTGATTTGACTTATCACTACAGTGTATCTTATCGCTGTTTAATTAATCAATTAATTGATTAATTATAATTATATAATTATAAAAATAAATATAAATAACAATAAAATAATTAATTAGTTAATTAATAATTACTGTTGATTAAAGCAAAGAAAAGTGAATTAATTTTTTTATTCTTTCCCAACTATTCATTTTCAATTTTTAATTTACACCAAAAATGTCTTCAATGTTTAATTAATTTATGCCAGATTAATTGGTTTAAAAATTCTCCAATAATATCAAAAATTAGATAATATATTCAGTAACATATTCAATCACTTAAATCGGAAAACATCAACTATGAAGTTGTTATTGATGCTCTTCAATAAAGTGATGATATACAATGATAGATAACTGCTTTCATTTCTTTCAGATTAGTTATATCAACACAAATAAATTATTAAATGAAAAATCACTATAGATTAATCAAATTTATATCATCTGCAAATAAAAATCATTCATTGTCTCTAAACTTTGAATAAATAAAATAAAATACTTTAATTGTTTTATTCATTTGGGCCAGGATACAAAATAGTGACGTTTAATTTCAATTAGACATCATATTCCATAAAATAATTATGATTGTTAAAATTATTTAATTTAAAAAAAAAAAAATTATGAATATTTGTTAATGTGAGTCTCTTGGTTATAATAATTATGAGAATAAAGAATAAACTATGATATTAAATAGAACACTTACCACCACCCAGGATGCCATCGATAGTGTAATCCTTCTTGGAGTCATCTCCAGGTCTGCTTCCTCCACGCAAAAGTCGACTAATGGAGCTGACACTTGGTGGATCCGAGAAGCCTTCCTGCACAAAAGTCGGCAAGTGTTGTTGAAAATCGTTTGATGAATCGACAATCATTATTTCTCATCACCTCATACCTCATATACATAACTCCAAAACCAACAAATATTTTTCATAGAATATATTATTATTACTATTTCTTCGAAGACTAATTCAATCATTTTGAACGTTTGAAAAATATTAATTTTTTAATTAGCTAAATTTATGAAGCGTTAAAGTGTTTTATTTACGAGATGTAATAATTGAAGGTTGTGATGGTGATTGCTCTTGTTATGAAAGTAAAATACGAAATCGGCATTAGGATCACAGATGAAGGATGAAAGCATGAAATAAAATAAAAATGATGATGAAAAGGAAAAATATTGTAAGAAAGCGAAGAGAGAGGATCAGGAGAGCATCAGAATGTAGATATCGAGATGGAAGATGCGATCGTTTATCTCCAACATATCTTCGATCATGATATCTCAGAAACAATAACGATATCCTGAGAGAGACCTCGAAGATCCGATGGCTAGAGTGTATACAGGGCGATGACAGGGAAAGAGAGATGGAGAAAAGAGCCTCGAGGGCTACGCGGGCTCCAGGAACGCCTCCTTACAGCATTAAATGCCGTATTAATGCCGACCACGGTCGCTGCCTTTCCTCTCTTTTTCTCTCTTACTTAAAAACTCTTCAACTGCCTTAGCCTCCTCCTTTTGCAACGGCGTATACGTGTTTTCGGTGAACGGCTGCGGCTTTTTTTTTCTCTCAATGCAATTTATCTCTTTATCAACGGATCGAACGATTTCAGTCCGCAGAAAAAAGCATGTTAAAAAATATAATACACTAATGCTCGTCAGTTTTTTTTATTAATTGAATCTTAATGGACCTCATTTGATTTCACTTATTGTTTTTTCGCTTGTTTTATAAGTTCCGCGTTGATTATTATTTAATGATGGGATATTAAAAATTTATATTGAGGCTAGTGGATGAGATATATTTGTTATGGGTGGGAAGTCATTCAGAGATATAGTGCCACTTTGGTTTGCTTTAATTGACTCATTGTTATGTTTTAGTTAATTCATTAATTTAATTTTAAAAAATGTTAGAGAAAATTGTTGAATATTTTATTCTATTTCCTTTGTAAAAGTAACTCATTCTTGATCCAATATTGGATAAGACTGACACAGTGTTGAATCAAGAATGGACTAGCTTGTTTGCTATTAGGGTTCTGAAGAGGAACAAATTCTATTTTGAATAAAATTGAAAATCTTGAGAAATTTTAATTATTTTGTTTGCATGAAAAATATTTTTTAAGGAAAAGTGACCACATTAGTTTGGGTAATTATTATCGATGATGTAGTTGTGAGAAAAAAAAATCTCTGTTGTAAATATTATGAAATCATAATAAAAATAATTAAACATATTATGATGGAGTTTATTACCAGCTACAGAGTCAAAATTGTTTAAATAAAAATTTCTATAAATCTGCAAGTAAACTGAAGATGAGAAATGAGGCACAAATTGACCAACTTGAGTAAGAATAAAATTACTAATCATATCACATTGATTAACATTGTCTCGATTTTAAAACACTTAAAAACGTTTTAAAATCGAGACAATGTTAATCGAATGGGTGACGTCATATTAAAACACTAAAATTTACAGTGATTGGAGTAATTTTTATGTTTTTTTTTTGAAATATATAAGAACATGTATGAAATATATGTATATTAGGTTGTCCAAATATAAATCCACCATCTCGATCAATCTTTCAAGAAATTTTAAAAATGACTTGGAAATATCTACACAAGCAAGTGTGCAATCGTTGGCAGTAAATCGTGGATAACAATATCGAATATATTAGTAAGACATAATTATCACTTTGAATTAGATAAAAAAAATATTCTTTTAAATGGCGGATTTATATTTGGACAAACTAACATCAACATATTCTAGTGGAAAGCAAAACTGGACCATTTCTGGGCCAGCTTACAATTTTATTTATTATTATTACTAATTAAGTAATGATGAGCCAAAAATAAAGCAACTTTCATCCCCAAAATGATTTTAATTTTTACCCAACGATAGTTTTCAAAGTGAATTTCATTTTAAAAAAAATGCTCCATACTATAACACTTTTTATCAAAATTCAAAGTGAAAGCTCATATCATTTTTGATCCTTGGTAACTGAAACTAAACCCTTAAAGTGTTGGCAATGTTAAACATCATAAACAAACTATGGCAATTTTGTAGTCGACTTTTAAATGCTTTTTGTCATTTACCAAAATGCTATAGTTTTTTTTATGATGTTCAACTTTGTAAACACTTAGGTATTTAATTATTAATCACTTTAAGTGATTTATCACTAAATACTTGAATTTTTCCAGATAAGCAGTGGTAACATTGATTAATTTACTATCAGAGATAGTTGGTGCCACTAGTATCTACTCTATTACTCAAAATGAAGTCAGCTGAATAAATTACAGCTTCAGTTACAGCAATTTGTACCTGTATTTAATCAATACCAAAGCACTTGAAAGTCATTCACTCATGACCTCCAAGACTGCGATTAATTCTCAAAATAAACTTAGTGTATGTTTCTCGAGTCACTTAGTATGTGCAATGGAGAACGTGTTTGAATAGTTGGAAATAAAAAAAAAAGAGCTAAAAAATATGGGTGGAGGAGAAAATGAAATAACTGAGTTAGGAAGTGTGGAGACAGCAGAGAGCATAATATCGAGATCCTGTAAGACGTACGCCAATGAAGAGTAGGTGTAGGCGGCGGATAGGATCGTATTAGAGGACACGCGAGTTGCTTCAGGCTTCACGTACCTCAACTCACTTCGTACCCGCCTTGTGCGCAATATTAAAAAGCTCCATTCAGTGTGATCGCAAGGAAAGATATATAAGTGCCCGCCTATACCCAAGGATCTTCCCGCTTGAAAGAGAAAGAAAGACAGACTCGAACGTGCTGGGGTCAATCGCTAGCCGGAAGATATTATTGAAAATTTATCCTGTCGAGACTCAACACCTTCATTACGTCTTATTATTTTATTTATTCATCGTTGGGGATATTGCATTTTCATCACCATTTGTTTTAAAGTGTGAATTAAATGGAAACAAACACATGGATGAGATCAGTTAAGATCAAGTTGGTTTGATAAAAATTTTATTATCAGAATAAAGATTGGAGGAAGTTGATAGAAACAAAGCCATCATTTTTGGTTTTAAAATTAAAATAGGGTAAATATCCTAACTAGCAACACATTACTCTCTAAAAAGGAATCAGCGAATATTTAATGTTTGCAGTGATAATGTTAGCACTAATTCAAACAGGGAAAATCAGTGAATACTCTCTTAAACTGAATCAGTGAAAACTAACACTGGATGCCAGTGCCAATCCTATCACTGAAAGAATCAGTCATTAGATTGGCACTGGATATCAGTGAATACTCACTGATTCGCAGTAATTTTCACTGATTTATTTTCAGAGAGTAAAAATCCCATTAGTGATACAAATAAAAATTAAAGACAATTGTTATGAAATATTATGACTTATTTGTGATATTGCTTATTTTGTTAAAGCTTGAAAATTTGGAATAAAAATAGTTTAAAAGATAAATGCATCGATTATTGGCACTTCCATTTTGCATGTTTAATTATTATTATTTTCAAACTACACAATAAATTACAGTCGAACGGCTCGAATTTTTAAGTCTTGGGGTAACTTCTTCTAAGAATAAAAGTTATGGGGTCCTCTGCTAATATATGGACTAAACTATTGTTTGTTAACATTTAATATTCATAAAGTAAAAATTACGGGGTTAAAAATTAGAAGAGTTCGATTATACTAGATTTTTGGAATTTGCTGTTACTTATTATTTATCAACAATTATTTGTAATAAAAATATATAACAATAATTAATCATTACTTTGACATTTTTTCCTTTGACAACTTTGACAAAATTGAATAAAAATTGTCTGTTTATAAAATTTTTTTGTAAAAAAACTACTAATTCTGTAAATAAAAAGAGAAGCGAGTCAATAATCAGGACATTTACCTCAACAATTCAAAATTGGGAAGAATATTTTTCTTTTATTCTAAGTAAATTTCGACTTTTTGATAAATTTGTTTTTTTTTTGAAGAAAATGCATGAGGAAGATTGTTTACCTTGATTAGTTTGTCCCGAATTTCCCAAGAAAAAATACCAGGATGTTCTCTCTTGAGTTCTTCGATTCTTCCCTCGACTTCGGGAGTGGCAACCCTCGGTTTGCTTCCTCCGATGACTCCTGGTCTAATGGATCCAGTCTCTTGATACCTGTTGAGTATTTTCGACACGCAGCCATGGGACACTCTTAATTGTCTTGAGATGACACAAGGTCTTATTCCTGTAGCTGCCATTTCTACTATTTTTAATCTTATGTGATTTGGCAGTGGTCGTCCATTGATAAATACACCACCCAACTGATTCATACGTCCTTGGCCTACATATCAAAATAACAAATCTCTTTGAATTTTTTCATTTCAATTGCAAATTTAAAATCTTATTATTTTTTTTTCTAGTTATAAAGGCTGATTAAATCAAGTATCATTCAAGGTTGATCAATGGAAATTAATATTTTGCAGCCTTACATTCTTATTGACTCATGATCTGTCTACCCTACTCTGCACCAAGAGGAGAAAAGCATAAAAATCACCCTGTACACCAGAAAACTGTCAATGTCAAAATTACTCCATAATTCAAAGCAAACTTGGGATACAATAAAAATAAAGGAAAAATTATAACATTGTGAATTTTATCTTTTTCTATTTCATAAATAATACTATTAATTACTCTGATTACTGGGTCTCATATTTATCAGTGTGAAATGCATTTTTTATACACAATTATATTGTAAAACTTTCGCAGTAACGCAGATCTAAAAGCAGAAAAGTACTGTTACATTTTCAACTGAATTCAGAATAATTCAGTGATGAGGCAAGATGAACCCCTTTAAGAAATAGTAATACGTTTATAAAATTTCGAGGTTTAAATTTGGAAATAAGCAAAAAAAGGTCCATAGCAAGATTTATATAAACTATTGAAAATCTTAAAGTAAAAATGACATCCTAGTTTTTCCTTAACAGTCATTTTTAGGGTGAAAATATCACAACAGATCTAAAACTTTCAGAATGTGTTATAATAACTCACATGAAATGTATTCAATATTAATTATATTTATAAATAAATGATAGAATTAAACACACTTTGAATTATGTAAAAAGTGACTACAAAATACAGTGGGTTCTTTATGGAGTTGTAATATTGAACATACTCAATGAAAATTAGTTTCATTCACACGGATTTACAGTGATTAATTTAAATTGATAAGAAGTTATTCCATATTAATGAAATTATATGTTTTTAGAGTAATTAAAAATAAATACACATGTGTAAAATTTAATATAATCAAATACACTTATTTTCTTAAATTCTATCAGCAACTTCACTGACTCCTAACTAGTTTTTCATTGCCTACTTGGTCATTAAGAAAATCAGTGGCCTATCACTGCAAATCCCAAGGTTTTATAAACATGTTAAAATAATACGCATAAAGTGTGTTCAATGTCAAATGCCCATAAACAAACTATACATGATTTGTAGACACTTTCAACACACTTCATAGTGTGCGAAAAATCTATAGTTTGTTTACGATATTTAACATTGAAGAGGCTTAGCGTGTTAAAAGTGCCTACAAAAATAACACACTTGGATTTGCAGTGATAATTGGCACTGAAGTCATTGATAGAATTTAAAAGAGTTAGCGATAAAGTATCAATTCATAAAAATTTAGCTAATTCTTCATGAATTGGTTGTATTCAGGATTCTCTTACTATTTTACTCCTTGTCTTGGATTAATTGTAAAAAATTTTGAAGACAATCTTTTTAAAAATAGTTAAAAGTTTTCATTCATTCATATATCATAATTTTTCGATTTTTTATAGCCAAAAATAGGGCGGACCCTACCTCCGAATAATTACCAAGTTTTCAAATGCTCTATGCTTAAAATGATATGGATGTGAATTCACACTTTACTGCTTATGTCTCATCAATTTTTTTTTGTTCTTTTTTTTTTAAACTAGTTAAATTCTTCAGTGTGCATTAATTAATTACTAATCCACTTTTGTACCAACTCCTAGTTAGTCACTAGATGATAAAAAAAAATATCTCGAACTAATTAAAAGGTAAGAAAAATATTAAATGATGTTCAAGAATGGACATATAGGCGGAAATAAATAGTAAATGAAACGATAAGGAATGTATAGGACTCTCAAAGGAAATAAACATAAAAAATGTAAGATGTAAACAGCGTAAAATTAGAGAAGTTATGCTTATGAATGGGCGTGTTTAGTCATTTCCAGGGTTAACGAGTATAAAGTCTGATCGTTAGTCGAATTAGCCACCCTTTCTACGTGACACTGCCACTGGTATCATCATGTCCCTCGTGCGCGTATACCGCAGCGCATAATTACTATGTTTACGTTTTGCAAAGACCTCCAACCATCCATATGAATTTACGTGGCTCTCAGAAGTATCTAATTACAGTAATCGACATTTTCAAAATGCTCCAAGTGGTCCTCATATACATATAAATACTCAGAATATTCCACCAAAGAGTCGATGCTACTTGATAACATGCCTCTCTGAATTTCATATTTTTGTATTAAACAATATTTCGCCGTTGGCGTTAATTTTATAGCTTATCACAGCTAATTCAATTGGTACGATAATTTTGTTAATAATATTTTTTGTGGTATGATATTTACTACAATCTACTTATGCTCTTGGATGAAAGTTGTAATTTATTTAACTTAACGTGATTACACTGAATGCTTTTAAAAATTTTTTTCAATTTAAATTCGACATGGTTAGGTAATTATTGCTCTTATTAATTAACACAAATCACTGTACATCGTAGTTTATAGTTTTGTGTACACAAACTACTTTAGATCAATTGATAAACTGTTTATACTCCATGGATTATGAAAATTATCTAATTGAACATTTTATGATTAAATGATGGTTCATTAACATTATTTATGTTGGTTAAATATAATACAATTATTTCAGGATAAATTATTTGATTGAATTAGATGACATGTTAGATAACAATTAGAATATTAAGTAAAGTAGACACATCATATGATGTTACAGTTTATTTTGCTTTTTAAAATATCATTGATAAATTCTTAGCTCTTTCTTCTAACTTATAATCAATTAATAATGATTTTAAATAAATTAGCAAAAGATATTTAAAATGTTTAAACACAGAAGAATAGTCAAATCTTTGCAATACCTATCATCATCTCTTGAAATGAAGTTGTGAAGATCATCAAAAATTGGAGCAAAGTAGTGAATATTCATTAATTCTAAAATTATCATGATACAACTATTTTAATTATTATATATTGTTAAATATTCTGCTATAATTTACAATATTTATAACTGTGAAACAGTCCTCGTTCACTGTTTCATTCTTGAAGAAGCAGGATTTTAAGATGAAGACTACTCCAAAACAAATCAAATTAAATCTCCAAGATTTATTGTGATAAAAACTGCACATTTGTTGTGCAGTAATTAAATATTTATAATATATTTTCAATCGATCATGATATCACTGCAAAATTTTTTATAAAAGAAATAAAAGTAATTGAATTGGTTCTATAGAAAATTTTGTGCTTCAAAATCCAATTTAACATGTAATCAATGATTATACTTTCAAATGTTCAATGAAATATTAATAAATGATAATAAATCCAACTATTTTATTTTTTTAGAATTCAGAGCTACTTTTTTTTGTTATTTAAAAAATTTTCCAACAAGTCTTCTTCATCGTTCCCTATGGAATTATTTCTTTTTTATAACGTGAAAATGATGTGGAGGGTTAATTTATTGTTTTATAAACTGTCCTTAAAGATTACTGTCATTGAAAAATATTTACTGTTATACATTTTTTTTCGATAAAATAAGAGGAACTAATATTTATGATAATTTTTCGACCGGTTTTATAAAAAAAATTTTAAATAAACTTGATGTTATGTTGCAAGTAAATTCAGGTCTGTAATCAAACCAAATCATAAGTGCTTTTTTAACATATTCATACATTGTAATTTTTGTACGTTTACAATGTAGCAATGTATATGAAAATAAGACTCATTTATGTAACTAAAACATAATCCACTTTCTCCATAATTTTTAAAATTAAAATGTAATTATAGTCTTTAATCTGTTTAAATTGGCCATTATCTTAATCAAATATTAAAAATAAAAAAAGTAAAAAGTTTTAATGATGAAATAAAGTGTTTATTATTTAATAATACCTTGAAAAGGATATCCTCCAAAAAGTGGTCTCATACTTCCAGTAATATCCATTCTTTGTATCAAAAAATAATTCCCAATAAACTCAAAAAACAATCACGAGAATATACATCAAAGACTTTATTTCAAAAAAAGATCAAATATCACATTCACTTTAGTCTTTTGTTCACAACAATAATATATCCTTGCTTCCTCCCACTTAATCTCTCCTTTTAACTCAACTCCTCTTCAACTTCTTTGTTTTCTTCTCAGTATTTTTTCCCTCACTTCTTTTTCATCATCATCTTGTACTTAGCTTCAAGAAGTCAAGCGCCACCACGAGGTGAATTACTTTTCGCAAAAAATAATCCCCACACTTTTTCTCAGCCCCTCTTAGCTTGTTCACACGCGGAGGATGAGAGGTTGGCAAGAGAAAAGAAGCAATAAAAAGAGTATCGAAGTGAAACAAGTAAACTCGTAAGACTGGCTGGCAACCAGTGGCTTGAAGTACTGATGATGGAGCAGCTATTTTAAAGTGAGATAGTGAACAAAAAAAAAGGGAGTACAAGATTCGCGTCGATGAGAAAAGGAAACGAAGGCCAAACGCGTGGCTTTCGTTTCAAGGGGTACTGAGACAATAACGTGTCAGTGAGTACAACTCCACAGTTGCCTTGGTCTCGCGTTTGTGCTGGATGCTCTTCCTCTTGGTCGAGGGGGGTTTCTCGTGATCTCCAACACACAAGAGACACACTAGAGGGGGACTGATTGTATTTAAACGTAGTCTACTCTGCTCTTGAGAGTCTTCCTAAGATCATTGGCTACGCCCTACCACGTGGTTGGTAACTGAGAGCTGCACAATGGGCGTTCTCTTAATGTAGAACCGCCTTCAGAACGTGTCTGATATTTTATTCAACCCCATGTATTGCTTCAAATGATCATGTAAGTATTGGTCATGTTGGATTTTTAATGTAAGACTGTGAAAAATTACTGCTAAAACACTTACACTTGTCTCATTTCATGTTACATGCTTACTATTTGGTCTACTTTATTCCTCACCTTATCAAGCTCACGAGGCTGAAACCAATTTTCAATCCGACATCGTCTACTGGTGATTAAGTTGATACAGCTATGCTTTGATCTTGGAAATTATTAAATGGCTAGAGTGATTGACTTATCAGGATGAAAAATATTTCATGTCAGATGCTGGAGCCTTGGAGCTGATACTAGGTTGAAGACCCTGAAGACAATGGTTACATCATTTATAATGATAATTATTGAAAAAGCTGGTCTTTGTCATCACTACCAAGGATCATTCAGCCTTGGTCAGAGAGGAAAATTTATGAACATCCATTGGCCGGAAATAAAATCATGATGAACTTATGATGGGTAGTAATAAATTTTTATGGGATGTCATAAACGTAAAATGAGCAAGCACGTAATTTTAAATTACTTGTGACAAGGCTGGTGATGATGATCTCTTTGGCAAAGAGTCGAGGTTGTTCAATTTGTTTAATGAAATCTGTTATCAGCTTTTTCAATCATTGTTCACTAAAAAAAAATCTTTTAATAACTTTTGTATTTTATGTACTTTATCTTTATTGTCAAAGAAGTATTTTTATTTTCTTCAACATTATCTTTTCAACATATTGAAAAAATTTCCACTTCTCATTTTTTCCTGCAACAATTGATTTTTCTTCCTTTTAAAAATAACTTTAAAATGATGGAAAATATTGTTAATTTTTATGAACTAAGTAAATAAATGGTTGGACCCATAAAAATGAAAAATATTATTTCCTATTGTGAAAATACTTATGTCTTTTGACAATAGAATTTCAAAAATAATTTTTGCTCCAAAATGACCCAACCAGAAATCATAAATGAGTGATGAGTCCAGAAGAAAAGCACAAAGCGAAAGTGATTTAGTTTTTCGTAAGGCAAAAGTCAATCCTTTCCTTCAAGATGCACACGTCCTTCAGAGAAACCAGGAAGTGAACCCAAAGTCGACCTTGCCTTTAACTTACGCAATAATATTTCGAAGTAACTTAACTGTCAATAAAGCTATAGAACATAAGAATGGTCTATTTATGATGAGTTTAACGTAGAGAATGTCAGAAATATTACGTTGCATGGTACATTATGAATAGCTTAGGACCCAAGTCTGGTCCTGGACACCAGAATATTTACAACGTCTTCAGCTGAGACGTAAAATCATGATGTATGTATGATAGGTTGTATTAAATTTTATGACAGGGTCTAATAAACTGTACTGTACTCACAGACTCTTGCTGTAAATCTTTTCACCAACAGTAGCACGCTTCATGGGAGCAAGAAGAAGAAACGTAGGTTAAAAGTTGGAAAAGAGAAAGAAGTTTGGCATCGACTTGACCACAGGAGGTCCTCTGGGCTACGGATAGAAATTAACAGGCCTGGTCACTTGGTATGCCTTAATGAATGAGAAAGAAAGAGATGAAAAAGCCAAGAGGTACCTCAAGAAGTCTCTGGATCCAACTGAGACCATCTTAGGGGTACAATGTCAAGCGACGGGGAGCGCCTGCAAATATTGTACTGGTTCAGACAAGGTGAAGACGGTAGGAAGATTTAAGGATACCAAGATAGTGCTTTGTTCCAAAAAGTTGGTGTCCCATTTTGCGCAAAGCAGACAATCATTTTGCTCCTTAGGGGGTACAAGTTGAACTTAAATGACAGACTAAGGGGTCGAAGTATGGCCACGTTGTGGCGCTACCGAGTTTCTTTCAACCCTGACCTTCAAAAAAGGGCAAGTACTTAAGAGCACATTTTTTTAACAATTTTCTTCGAAATTAACGTTTTACTGCTTTCTGGCAAATTTAAAGATTCGACAACGTTTGACTTATGTTTTTTCTATTATTTATTTATTAGTATGCATTATGTAAATATAATTTATTGTTTATTTGTGTGAGGTTTAATATTTCTGTGTACTGTCATCATCATGTTTATGTCATCAATAGCTTTCATTTGGATAGAAATTTATAGCTTATTTTTCTTCATAAAAATGTGTAATTTGTAAAGGTGTAGATGCATGGAATGTGCCATGTTCTTTTTTTCTGGTTTTGTATCAAAATATTATTACAGAGTGAAGAAAATCGATTGGAAAATCAGGTCAAAAGGCATTACTTGGTCTGTTGTATGCAGTTATAGAACGCACATTAGCAGACCGTATAACAGTGATGATGCTGAATAAATAAAATATGCTTTTTTAGGATTATATTCAATATAACGCATGCATTACTAAACAAACAAAATTATGAATGCAGATAAAATTTGAAATAAAACTTGAAATGGGTGTTTTTAAATTTAAACATACCCTGTCCAGGGACAGAACCGTTTAAAATGAATTCTTGGATTTTTAGAAAATTGGATTTCCAAAAAACCGTAAAAAAATCGTAAAATTAAAGGTAATGGAAGTGTTTAGATCAGTCTTTTCATCGATTGTCATTTTTATGAATTTATACGAGGTTCTAAAAAAAATTTCACTTCACTACTTAAACAAACTTTTATCTAAATTACGCCAATTCTTTGTATTTATTCAATTCAAATTTTTTTTTTCTTTCATTTATAACAAGTTGATTGTGGTCAGAAAGTCTACTTATTAAATAGATAGAAATAAGTAGTAGTATTTTTATTTTATAATAAAAATTATTATTTTTATTTAACTATTTTTTACGTAAATATTTTTTATATGTAATAAATATTAACTAAAGTGAAGTCAACTTTATAAAAAAAATTATTAAATTTAAGGTAAAAATCATTAACAAGACAATAAAAAATAATTCCCTTTTATTAAACTTTGTTTTTTCTTTTTGGAGTAATTTTTCAATTTGGAGTAAAAAATTACTTAAAAAAAAAAACAATAAACTCCATTTCAAGTTGATAATTGTTGTCATACCTTTAACATCTCTTTAGTTTTTACTCCACCAATTACTTAGAACACTAAATAAAGAGTGTTATTAAAATTTCTTCAATTAACTTTTAAATACATAGCATATCAAAAATGAAACAGTAACTTTATGTCCTTATTACACATTCATAATTACTAATCTCCAGACTTGGCTGTATAGTCATTGATGTCTTGTTGTATTATTTTAAAGTGCGTAAAAAGAATCATGGATTTAAGGGTTAAAATAATAATGATCATGATGCGTTTTATTACCTTCAAATTTTCTCTATTACCAAAATCTCACAGCAATAAGTATTCAATTGAAAATTCTTTAAAGTCCTTAATCCGCAAAAAAATCCTAACCAGCTTAATTTTTTCAGTCATTAAATTTCAAGAGGCAGAATATATCTATTCCAATTCAACGTTTAACCTATTCGACAAGTGTAGCATTATAATTTTTTGTAAGCTACATTTCAATATGATGGATATCGTTCTATGGCTCTGGCGTGAAATCCTGGATTCCGATAATAACATTTTGCCACCTGTGTGACTTTTATTATCCTTTTGAGACAATTAACCCATGCCAGGTTATTGATAGAAAAGTCAAGTTAGTTCCATGCATTTTTTTCGTCTTCACGCATTCCTATTGCTATATGAAACAAAATCAGTCTCTCAATATTTCTGTACAGGTATTTTTCTCACCTATTGTCTAGAATATTCAGTTAGCACGCGTGACGGATCCAGTTGTTGTTTACCTAAGTCTATACATATATACTCAAGTTCAATTGGTATAACCTTAAAATACCAGGTGATTGGTTTGTCTAGAGTGAAAGTCGGAAGCTCATTGGTTAGATGTACTATGTATCAACGGAAGTTTGTGCTGAGACAGCAGGTAGTACGGTATAACGTGGAAGAAATTGATTAGAAGATTTTTAAACCCAAACTTCAGTGCTAACTGCTACCCGTAACATTTTGAGTTACTCGGGTTGACAATTTATCTTGAATTTGGACATTTTTTTTTTTACTACGAATGTCTATTGAATTTCCTTATAAACATTCTCCTAACAATTTGCCAAACATTGTGGTAACAAATGTCTCAAGAGTTCTAAAAAGATTCAACCTTCAAGAAACCCATTGCGATTGATCCTTGCTCTTTTAT